TTTTTTTTTTTGGAGACGGAGTTTTACTCTGTCGCCCAGACTGGAGTGCAGTGGCATAATCTTGGCTCACTGTAACCTCCACCTCCTGGGTTCAAGTGAGTCTCCTGCATCAGCCTCCCAAGTAGCTGGGAATACAGGTACACACTATCATACCTGGCTAATTTTTATATTTTTAGTAGAGATGGGGTTTCACTGTGTTGGCCAGGCTGGTCTTGAACTCCTGACCTCAGATGATGCACCCACCGTGGCCTCCCAAAGTGCTGGGATTACCAGTGTGAGCCACCCTCCTTAGCTTACCCATCCTTTTTGAAACACGTCAGAGAAATAGTGTCTTCCTTTAAGGCCAAGGAACCATTTCATTGGTTTGTTTGTTTGTTTTTGTGAGGACTAGCTGAAGGAGGTGATGTATATGAACCTGTCTACTTATTTGCCACTTCCAGAGTGTGTTGAATATTAGGGTTTAATATTTCTGAAGCATTTGTTAATAATCAAGTGCGGGGGGCTAGAGGTTAGAAGGCCTAGATTTCTCTGCATACCTTTGCCATCAGCAAGCTGTATGGCCTTGGACAGATTGCTTTTTTGTCTAAGTATTTCTGAGTCTTCTTGAAAACAATGCCAGGTTGGGACACGATGATTGCCAAGTTCCCATCCAGCTCTAAAACACTACAGCCTGTGTTTCTGCACCGGCATTGTCGATCCCGTAGATCATGCAGAAACTCTCTTCAACCTTTTCCTACACATAAAATAGGAGCATGCTTACCTTTTTCCTAATTGTCTAGAATATTTTAAGGAAGGATCCGGGCACAGTGGCTCATGCCTGTAATCCCAGAACTTTGGGAGGCCAAGGTGGATGGATCATGAGGTCAGGAGAGTTCAAGACCAGCCTGGCCAATATGCTGAAACCCCATCTCTATAAAAATACGAAAGATTAGCCAGGCGTGGTGGCATGTGCCTGTAGTCCCAGCTACTCAGGAGGCTGAGGCAGGAGAATTGCTTGAACCTGGGAGGCGGAGGTTACAGTGAGCCAAGATCACACCACTGCACTCTAGCCTGGGTGATAGAGCAAGACTCCATCTGAAAAAAAAAAAAAAAATTGTAAGGAAGGAAGTTAATATGTATCAGAGCCCACTATGGTCCAGAAGTGCTCCTTTTCCTCCCTGTACCTATTTCCTCTCTCTCTCCCTATTCCTTCCTTCCTTCCATCTGTGAAGATGACATGATCACCCTCATTCTGAAAGTGAAGAGAGAGACCCAACTAATGAAATCGCTTGTTCGAGGTCACACGGGTGGCACATGGCAAAGTGGCAGAAGTTGAATTTAGACCCATCCCTGTCCAAGTGCTGAGGTTATGCCATCGTCCCGACCATAACTTTAAAGATGTAAGATAATGGGAAAAGAGTTGGTTTCAAAGCACCTCTCAGGAAGAACTCACTTTACAGCAGGGGTCGGCAGACTCAGGCCAAATTTGGTCCATGCTCTGCTTTTGTAAATAAAGTTGTATTGGAACACAGCTAGGCTTATTGATTTATGCATTGCCAATGTCCTTTTGTGAAACAGCAAGCTGAGCTGAGTGATCGTGACCCACGAAACCTAAAATATTTACTATCTCATCCTTTACGGAATGTTTGCCAATCTATGGTCCAAGGTCCGAGGCTGTCCATCCTTCAAAGAACACAAAGTAACACGAGACTGCCCCGTGTGTGGGGATCCCTACCACTTTATTGTGAAAAAGGGACCTTTCTGCGCAAATCTGTTTTTTTAAAAAGTCAACAAACAAGACTCTGGGTACCTGTCAGGCGCAGTAGGGGATCTGGTTTTCATTGTGCTCTTCTTCCCGGGAACTCAATGAAGGGGAAATAGAAATCTCAATTTTGGGGAAATTGCACAGGGGAAAAAGGGGAGGGAATCAGTTACAACACTCCATTGCGACACTTAGCGGGGTTGAAAGTGACAACAGCAGGGTTTCTCTTTTTGGAAATTTGAGGAGGGTATTTCCGCTTCTCAGAGTGCGACAGGGTGGCAGTCGCCTAGCTTGGGTGAGTGACTATTTCTTTATAAACCGCAACTCCGGCCCCACAATGGCAGTCCACTGCCTTGCTACAGTCACAGAATGGAAATCTGCAGGGGCCTCCGCAGTCACCTAATCTCTCTCCTCCTCTTCCTGTTCCATTCAGAAACAGTTGGCCGCCCCTGTGGGAAAAGACCCTGCAAGATGCAAGCCTTCAGGTAAGGCTACCCTGAGGAGGAGGAAGTGAGGGTGGATCAGCTGGAGACTGGAAACACATCACAGCTGTCTGGGGCTGCCAGGCCCTGTAGGGCCTGAGAACGGAATTTGGGCTGGAGAGGATGTCCATTATTCAAGAAGAAGGCTGTTGCATGTGTGGGCTTCAGGGCTTGTATTTCAAAATATCCCAGATGTGAATAGTACGACCGGAGGGCTGGCTTACTTTCCCAGAGGCTCAGCAACTCAATTAGTAATAAATGCATGCCAAGGAGTGAGGCTGGGATTTAGGCCTGGCTGAATGTGCTGCCAGAGAAGCAGAGAGGGGCACCAGGGGCAGGGCACAGCCGAAAGGCCCAGACTGATGTGGGCAATGCCTGTCTGCACTGACACGTTGGAAGGTCCCACTCTCCAGGGGCCTTGGTTTCCCCATCTGTGACATGAGATTCACAATAACTCCCTGTGTGCTTTACAGGGTTGTTGTGAAAATTAGATGCACAGATAATAGCGTAACAGTATTCTGTGCATTGTAAAGATCCTGAAAACCACTGTGATTTGAAAATGGAATTGGGGCTTTGTGAGATCATCACTATTGTAAAGAGGTGATGCTGACAGAAATGATAGGGCTGCTATGCGTGTCCTCTGCCATGTGACATTCCAGCAGCGAAATCATGTTGGGTTGGCTTTTTTCCCCCCTTTTGATTTTTCTGTTTGTCTGGGCCGAGGCTGCAGGTCGAGCTCTATGGGTGTATGAGTGACAGGCCTCTTCCTTCCACACATGGGTACTGTCTGCTTCCCTGGGTTGCCTCTGCCAGCTCTGATCAGCTAGAAGCTCCAGGACATCCCCTTGGAGGCCTCAGGAGGCAGTGTTTAATCCTTCCAGACTGAGGCTAAATCTGGAAACTAGGATAATCACAAACGGGCCAATGCTCACATGTGCAAAGCACTTTGGTTTGCTCAGCCACCGCTCAACCAGTGCGTGGGCTCTTCAGAGCCACTTGATGAAGTGGGTGCAGTTAGCCACACTTCACAGGTGAGGAGATGAGGCGCAGGTCCCAGGTCACGCTGGCTGGGGCTCTGTTTACTACATCTCACAGGTCTGAGCCCTGCTCTCAATCAGAGAGGCCCTTTACCGAGAAGAAAGGATTGGGACCCAGAAACAGGTCACTGGCTGAGCTAGAGAGGAAGCCGGCTTGTTCCCAAGGGCAGCTGGCCCTGCAGGACTCTGAGCAGGTTACCAGCTAATGGAGGAAAGGCTCTAGGGACAGACCTTCCTGGTCCAAAACTCAGAGTGAGTTAGCTGCAAGGTGCTCTGTCTCTGGAAACTTCTAACTAGGTGCTGTGGTAGCCACTAGTCTCAGGTGGCTATTTAAATTTACACTTAAATGAGTGAAAATAGAAGAAAATTTAAAATCCAGACCCTTGGTCACACCACCCATATCAAGAGCTCAATAGCCACACGTGGCTCGTGGCCACCCTATTGGGCAGTGCAGCTATAGGACATTTTGCCTCCCAGAAAGTTCTTTTGGAAGTTGCTGTTCTATAGCATGCTTTGTTGAAACAGAAGTGCCTTCCCTGGGAATCGAAGATGGGAAGCAAGTGAGGAGGGGGGTCAAATACGTGCTCACTGCTCACCAGTTGAGAGCATTGGGCCTGCCTCTTAACCAACGCCAGCCTCAGTCTTCTTATCTGTGCATGCCATGGGTATATTAAAATACCATACCCCTGGAAGAGTTAGATGCAAATTTGACAAGTTCTGGGGAACACAGGAAGGTGCCAAGTGCAAGGCTGGGCACATGGCAGCTGTGCACTGCAGTGGAGTCCTGTGCCTTTTCAGAATCTGGGATATTAACCAGAAGACCTTCTACCTGAGGAACAACCAACTAGTTGCTGGATACCTGCAAGGACAGAATGTCTATTTAGAAGGTGAGTGGTCGCCAGGAAAGCCAATGTGTGTGGTCATCGGGTCACCTTGCCCCTCGGTCTGCAGCAGCATGGCCTGCCTGCACAGACCCTGGGTGCAACGCCCTAATCCTTGCTGGGTCTTTGTATTCAAGTTTGAAGCTGGGAGGGCCTGGCCACTAACGGGCATATATGAGGGCAGCCGGAAGTGGATGTGGAGAGGTAGAGTCTCGGTCAGGGGTCAATGCATATAGGCACAGTGGTCCCAGGGCCACAGCTGGGAAGGGCAGATACCAGAAGGCAAGGTTGACCCTTCCTTTCCTCTGGTGCCTATGAAAGCTTCCATGTTCCTATGTTGTTCAAACACTAACCCAATCCCAAATTAATCCACCATGTATAAGGCTGGACGTAGTCTCTTATTCCTGGATACCATACTCTGCCATATTCTGATTCATGCTTTAAACAAGCTGGATGAACTTTAAGAAGCTTCATCCGCTCTGTTCCTCAGCTTTCCCTTTAGTGGGATGCCAGTGGGACAACAGGATGTGCGATTCTTTTAGCTCCAGCCTTCTAGGATGTTTTCACTCCCGTGTTTGGTGTCGTAGAATGGTATTACCTCCACCCGCCCACCTTCCCTCTTCCCTTGTTCTGCCTCTGCTGCCTCGCTCTGAAAGTGGTACCTCTCTTGGTAGTTCTCCTGATGAACACACTGAAGCATGGGGAGGCTGAGATTTTTATTGTTACATGACAGCATGGATGCCTCTTAGGGAAAGAGGAGGTTCAGAGATCCCCAGGGTCCTGTGGAGCCCCACTCATAGCCTTGTGCCATTTACCCTGCCCCTTGGCAGCACACCTATCGACCTGGAGCACAGGTATCCTGGGGAAAATGAGGGAAGGATGGAAATCACATGGAACAAAATCTAGGAGACTCAGGCCACTAGAAGTAACTGGATAATGTGCTTGGTTTAATCTTCTGTTTAGTTGCAGACCAGGAAGATGAGGGCTCTCTACCCTTCTAACCTTGGGATTTTAGTTTTGGGGGAACAGAGGAGACAGAAAAACACCCAGGGTCTCTTCACTATTGCTGCCTCCTCTTCTATTAACCTGACTCTCCCTCTGTTCTTCCTCAGAAAAGATAGATGTGGTACCCATTGAGCCTCATGCTCTGTTCTTGGGAATCCATGGAGGGAAGATGTGCCTGTCCTGTGTCAAGACTGGTGATGAGACCAGACTCCAGCTGGAGGTAAAACCCTGTTTTGGATATCAAATCACCCCAACGCACAGTGGCTTAAAACAACCACAGTTTGTTCTTATGATTCTATGGGTTGACCAGGATTAGGTGGGTAGTTCTGTTCCACATGGTGGAACTTGCTGGGGTCACTTTGGCAGCTGCATTCAGCAGAGAGTGTCCTGGGCATCAACAGTGGTCTCTCATTCTCCAGGATCTCTTTCCATGTGATCTCTCAGTGTTCAAGAGTCAACTTGGGCTTCCTTACAGCATGGCGGCTGACTTCCAAAAGGGATTATTCCAAAAGGACAAGCCTCAATGTGCGGGCGCTTATTAAACTTCTGCTTGCATCATCCTATTGGCCAAAGCCAGTCACGTGGCTAAGTCTAGCCCCTTGTGAGAGGGACTGCATAAGCGTGTGAACACCTGGTGGCACGGTCACCAGGAGCCACCACTGTAACGGTCTACCACAGGACCTGATTCTCTGTGCTACCCCCTTGCTCAAGGACCCCTAACCCTCTTGGACCTGCCCTCTTCTAGCAAAGCCCATCCTCAGGACCTTTCTCTTCCAATCACATTGATTAGTTGGTGCCCCACCCAGGGCCCTGTGCTCCTTGATCTCATGTTATGTTAATGGGTTTAAATATAACATGACATCAAGCCCTGGGAAAAGATGGCTTTGTCTCAGGGGCTCGTTGGATGCAACCTTAACCTCAACATGAGTGGCCATACTGTGGCACTGTCATATTCTTCGCCAGTAGACAGGAACACTGTTGTGGAGGGTGACTGCCTGTTCTGTGAGGAGGGGGGATGGCTAGGACATTGCATGTAACACACCACCATCCCATCTCCTCAGAGGCTCAAACGCTGGCAGAACACCAACTCTACAGGCCTTGGCTTCTGCTGACGGTGCCGTGTATTTACCAGACTTACTGCTCCGAGGCCAAAGTGGCTAGATTTCCCAAGTCAAGGTGTGACAGTGGGACAGCCTCTTTGCGTCTTTGCTGTCCTGAAAAACCTGGGCCTCAGGGTCCCACAAAGTGGCAGGCAGGAGTATCTGGGGCTTTTAGGGTACAGCCTTTTTGCAGTGCTAACTCTGGGCTGTCCAGAGGGCCATGTCACAGTGTGGGTGGAGAGGGAGGCAGCATAGGACTTCCTAGGTCTCACCTGCCCATCTCTTGATTTCCAGGCAGTTGACATCACTGACCTGAGCAAGAACAAAAAGCAGGATGAGCGTTTCACCTTCATCCGCTCAGACAGCGGCCCCACCACCAGTTTTGAGTCTGCTGCCTGCCGGGGCTGGTTCCTCTGCACGGCGATGGAAGCCGACCAGCCTGTCAGCCTCACCAATAAGCCCAACGAAGACGTCATGGTCACCAAGTTCTACTTCCAGGAGGATGAGTAGTACTGCCCAGACCTGCCTGTTCCCATCCTAGCATGGCAAGGACTGCAGGAACTGCCAGTCCCCCTGCCCCAGAGTTCCTGGCTGAGGGGGCACTGAGGAGCGGCCACTGCAGGGTGGACCCTGAGAAGGAGTCACCAGAGTTCAGTCACAGGACTCTGCCTCCAGCCTCTTCAACTGACCAGCCTCCATGCTGCTTCCAGAATAGTCTTTCTAAAGTGTGAATCAGAGCGCAGCAGCCCCTGTGCAAAGCCCTTCCGTATCACCTCTGCGTCCAGGATCAAACCCCAACCACCCGCCCGGCCTGGACTCCCTCTGCTCTCCTCCCTCACTCCACATACCCATGCCCCAGATCCATCAGGCCACTTGCTGACCCCCCACCAAGTGGCTCCCACACCCTGTTTTACAAACAAATGCCAGTCCATGAGGAAGGTTTTCTAAGGGTTTGTAGAAAATGAAAATTAAGGATTTCATGATTTTTTTCAGTCCACATGAAGGAGAGCCCTTCCTTTGGAGACGATGTTCTTTCTGGGAGAGGCTGAGAGCTTAAAATGTTCCTGCATATATGAAATGATGGTAAAAGTAGATGGTAGCTTTTCCCTTTTATTCATCTTTTTGTAATGTCCAAACTTGTAAAAATTATAAATTACGATACCACGTTGGCCCCATATATATATATATATATATATATATATGTATGTATTTTTTCGCCTTTTAAAACACTTCCATAATCTGGACTCCTCTGTCCAGGCACTGCTGCCCAGGCTCTGAGCTCCATCTCCACTCCAGATTTTTTACAGCTGCCCGCAGTACTTTACCTCCTATCAACTCCAAAGGCTCTGAGCAAATGTGGCTCCTAGGAGTTCTTTCCTCCTCTGCCGGAAAGAATGAATTGCTCCTCGACACTGTAGTGCTTCTGGCACTTGAAGACTTGTATGAAAGATGGCTGTGGCTCTGCCTGTCTTCACCACTAGGCTGGGAGCTCTGCAGAGCAGGGAGCATGACTTGTGTGTGTCTGAGTTCCCTGCAGGGCCGAGTACCTAGCCTCACTCTTGGCAGGCACTCAGCGAATGAGTGCTGTATATGTTAGGTGCAAAGTTCCCTACTTCCTGTGACCTCAGCTCTGTTTTACAATAAAACCTTGGAAATGCCTATATTGTTGACTACGTCCTTGGCCTTGACAGGCTTGGGGTATAGAGTGTTGGGGAAATTGAAAGACCAACGTGCCTTTCTCACCCCAGAGGCTGGGGCTTGGCTGCCTCTTCTCTGAGAGTTCTTTCCTTCCTTTAGTCTCACTCTCCCTGGATAACATGAGAGCAAATCTCCCTGCAAAAAAGATGTGGAGCAGCATTGTTCACAATAGCCTCTACTGGAAACAACCCAAGCACCCATCACAGAAGACTGAATTCGTACATCACATATCTGCACACAACACGATGCTCCTTTCAGAAAAAAATGAATGAATTACGGCCAGCTGCACCTCACAAGAGAGATGAATCTTACAAACATAACGTGGGTACGAGAATCACAAAAGCATGCGTAGAGTGTGATTCCATTTCTATAAGGTTCAAAACAGACAACGTGGAGCTGTTGTGTGGAGGGCTGTGGAAACAGGTGATGCAGATAGAAGTAAGGTTGTGCCCTCTCTGAAGGCCTGGTGAAGCTTGGACCCTGGGAGACAGAGTGGCAGGCAGGAGCACCTGGAGGCTTTTAGGGTCCAGACAACATTCTATTTCTTGGCATAGATGTAGTTAGGCAGTTTTTTTTATGTATATTTTATTTCACAATATCTGGGAAATAAAAAGACTTGCACTCCTCCCCTCAATCAGGGTGTAAGGAAAGGAGCATCTGGAAAATTATGAGATTAGTGAGCGGAGCATTGAATTTGGCCCCACAGGTGGGAGTGCAAGACCGGAGTGACCACTTATCAAACATACCTCAGTGAACAGTCAGGCAAGTGAGGAGTGTGGTCCTTTTTCCTGCCCAGGTTATTTATTTTGGATTCTGGGCTTGGTCTCTGGAGTCCAAGAGGCAGGCCTTAGTGGGGCCATGTACCTGCTGTCTGATTTTGGCTAAGGCACCTCATTTTTGGGGGCCTGTTCCTCACTTGTCCAGGGGGAGTGTTGACTTGGATGGGGACTTTCCAAACAGAGCTCCTTGGACCCTTCCCTCTGAGGGCTCTGGAAATGGGAAGCCCTACAGAGGCTAAATGGACCAGGATTCACCCCTTGAGCCCTGTTTCCAACAGAGCCTTCTGCTTTTCTCTGCTTTACAACCTGGACTTCCTATGGGACTTTGGTTGAAAAGGAGACTTCATTGCTAAAAGCAAATTAAGCTAAGCAGCCTAAAAGGCAACGAACTGGAGAAAATGTTTAAGGTCTTCTCTAGATCAGTTGATGAGGTCACCCAACATTTCTGAGCTTTCTCTTCCTTGTGTATAAAATGGGAGTAGCCAGCTGGGCGTGGTGGCTTACGCCTGTAATCCCGGCACTTTGGGAGGCTGAGTCAGGCAGATCACCTGAGGTTAGGAGTTTGAGACCAGCCTGGCCAATATTGCGAAATCCTGCCTATACTAAAAATACAAAAATTAGTTGGGCATGGTGGCGGGTGCCTGTAGTCTCAGATACTCGGGAGGTCGAGGCCGGAGAATCGCTTGAACTCCAGAGGCAGAGGTTGCAGTGAGCTGAGATGGCGCCATTGCACTCCAGCCTGGGTGACAGAGTGAGACTCCGTCTCAAAAAAAAAAAAAAAAAAAAAAAAAGGTTGTAGCTACACCTGCCCCACGTGGACAATAAATACAGGGATGGAATCTAATAGCATACATGAAGTGCTGTGTGAGTGATAAAAGGGCGTGTGTGGTTGGTATATTTTTAATCCTGGTAAAAGGAGGAGTTTCAAGGCAGAAAACTCATCAAGGCTTAATGACAACAGTAGCAGCTACCATTTGCGAGGCTCTATATGCAGCCTCCCTTCATGTTACGGACGGTAAAACCAGAGGCTAAGACTCTCTCTGCAAACTAGGTCAAGCAGCAAGCTACACGTTAGAAACAGGCAAGGCAGCAAAACAGTCACATGGGTGAACTCTGGGACTCTGCAGTCACACTCTGACTTTCCTGTTTGCAATGTGTGCTCATAAGCAAGCTAGCCAATCCCTCGGAGCTTTAGTGTTCTCATCACAAAATGCAAATAATAGGGAATGATGAGTTATTGCAAAGTTACTTAATCTTTGCAATAGTTTTCTGTGGTGAGGAGCATATATTATTATTATTAGTCCTAAAAGAGTCAGTACTCAAAGGGGTCTGCTTTAGAGCCTTGTTTGTCCAAGTGTGGTTCATGCATCAGCAGCATCAGCATGCTTCTAGAGTTAAAGCACAAATTCTCAGATCTCAGGCTTGACTTACTGATTTAAGGCCATCCTCTTAACCAGATCTCCCAGGCACGTTAAATTTGAGAAGCACTGTGTTAAAATGCATCAGTCACACAGTGCATGACCCTAACTGTAAACCTAGCCCATGTCCCTACTCTCTATCCCACTAGCCCATTGATGATGCCAAAAACTCCCTTCTTAACACTTCCTAGCTCGCCATGGGGGCTCATACCTGTAATCCCAGCACTCTGGGAGGCAGAGGTGGGCAGAGTACTTAAGGCCAGGAGTTCAAGACTAGCCTGACTAACATGGCAAAACCATGTCTCTACTGAAAATACAAAAATTAGGTCAGGCACCATGGCTCACACTTGTAATCTCAGTACTTTGGGAGGCCAAGGCGGGTGGATCACGAGGTCAAGAGATCGAGACCATTCTGGTCAACATGGTGAAACCCTGTCTCTACTAAAGCTACAAAAAAATCAGCTGGGCATGGTGGCGCGTGCCTGTAGTCCCAGCTACTCAGGAGGCTGAGGCAGGAGAATTGCCTGAACCCAGGAGGCGGAGGTTGCGGTGAGCCGAGATCGCGCCATTGCACTCCAGCCCGGGTAACAAGAGCGAAACTCCGTCTCAAAAAAAAAAAAAAATAGCTTGGTGTGGTGCTACACGCCTGTAATGATCGCTACTTGAGAGACTGAGGCATAAGAATAGCTCAGACCTGGGAGGTGACAGTTGTGGTGAGCCAAGATCGTGCCGCTGCACCCCAGCCTGGGTGACAGGGTAACATCCTATCTCAAACAAATAGAAAAACCACATTTTTAAACTTTCATTTTAAGTATTCCATAAAATATTCCTAAGAAGAAAAACTTTAAACCATCATGATGCTGCTAGAATGTCAGCTCAACCCATGCAGGTATTTTTTTCTGCTTTGTTCTACAGGGCATTTCAAGTGCCAAGGCCAATGCATGCAATATACTGGGTGCTCAGTGAATATTTGGTAAATAAATGACTTAGCCACTGATATATCAATAGGGATTAATTTATTAGACTGGCCAGCAAATTTGAGAAGACTGGGGACTTGGAATTTTTTGAAGGAAGCCTAGAAGAGAGGAAGGGCCCAGAGCAAAGGATTTTCCGGAGATTTGGGGGTTAAGGAAAAAGATATGACCACGAGGTGGCGGTAGCACACACAGTCTTTCTGGGTGATGCTTTAACAGGTTTGCCCTGGAGAAGGTCCTTCACAACAGGAGTCCATCAAGAGGGCTATAGCGTGGAGATGAGGTCCTTACTCAGAAGGGAAGGAGGGCAAGAGAACTCTCAGGAAAGAAGAGAACTGGAAAGGCAGCTTACATGGCCAGAAGTCACCCAGCAACACGGCAGGGAATCTGTGGATCAGAGAGCTCCTGTGGGCTGCAATGGCTTGGGGCCCTTCTGCTTGCAAATTATCCTTGGCCAGCAGATATTGGGTACAGTTTCATGGAGTATGCAGAGCAGGAAGGTTCTAAATGGCTTAAAATAGGCTTGTCTGGGCTATGTTTAAAACAAATGGATATGCAAACATTTGAGTTTGGCTTGCGGGGGTATTTCAGGTATAGTCTCAGCCTGCAGTGAAGAAATTAATAATCAAGGGGCCAGCACACAGAGGCCATCTTTGGCTCATTTATGTAGCACAAGGCAGGGGCCATGGATTAGGAAAGTCAGGCCTGGGTTCATGTTTAAGTGAGGCTTTGTTCAATTAAGAGACGGTGCACAGGTGACCAGGAGGTAGAGGGGCTGAGATGGGAGAGAAAAGCACAGAGAGAGAAGACAAGCAAGCCTTAAGAGGAATGTGGCTTCTTCTGTCACTTCTGGGCCTGACCAACTACAATACTACAGAATCAAGGACAACTATTTGATAATTCAAGGCTGAATGCAAGTCTTCCATAGTTGAGTCAGTTTTCCTATAAAGTTTCTGGGAGACCCTATGTCAAGGGATCTCCTCTCCCTAAGGCCTCAAGTTTTATAAAAAGATGGAATTGAACTAGATATCTGTCCTCATTAGGCTGATTTGCAGGAGCTTTTTTTTAAAAAAAGCCCGACTTCCTCCATCCAGGGATTCTGATTGACTTGATCTAGGGTGGGACAAAGACATTGGCTGAGGCCCTCTGGACCACATGGCTGCTGAGTCAGGGACCCTGAGATCAAGTCCTCCCAGCTCTCCTGCCTGGCCCTAGCAGTGTCTGTCAATACAAAGGAAGAGATGGTCGTTAATTTCAGAGAAAGGTTCATTACCGCATCAGCTGTACATTTTGACTATATGTTAATTTGGGTTGAAGGTAGAAGATTTTCTATTTTCTCAATTACAGGCTGGCTAAAACATTTCTTTCTTTTCTTTCCTTCCTTCCTTCCTTC